TATCATAAATACATATAAAGTTATAAATGGTGTGGGGACTGTAACGTATTATTTTAATGTCTCCCCAACTTAAATACTCATGCTTCGCTACTGATTATATTTATTATTACTAATATTGAACTAGGTATATTATATTTTACTCCAATATTATAAAATTATATATATATAATAAATGTTTATTTACGGTTTGTTAAGACTAGAAAAGGGTGTTTAAACTTATTGTTCCAACTTATTTAAATCAAATAATATTATAATAAAAGTAAAATCCAAATTTCCCTTCTTGAATCTTTCGGAAAACGATACATTTTCAAATATGGAAATAGTTTTCTAGATTTACCACAGTTGAAATATTGGCATTTGTTACCTGCCACTTTAATTTGTGAGTTTGTCAATAACACACAAATAAAGTCACAAATGATACAAATGTAAAACACACGATGTACAAAATATTGAAAATCAGTTAACAATATAATATTAATCAACAGTATCGTGATTCCGTCGATAATAATATAGACAATTTAAACAATGGTATCTCAATTTCCCATTTCATTTGAACTGAACAAATTATATTATTAGAAAGACAGCGACCCCTGCACCTCTCATCAATCTATGATAGAGGTACCACCTTTGCATCATAATCTACACAAGCGCTTCATAACTGTCGCATCACAAAAGTAGTAGCCAATTATTATCATTGCATGGGCTATCTATCTATTCTATAATCAATGCTCCAAAAAAATTTTAGGAACTGCAATTTTTTGACGGCGTCAACGTAGGTTTTGAAATTTTCTAAAGTATATACTAGTTTTTAGGAATAATTATTAATTTATTATTGAAAAATATTAATAACAATTATATAGTATTATATTAAGTCACTGAGTTATTTCGTCCGTGGGCGTTTAGCATATTAAGGCAGTGGTTCTCAAACTGTGGTACGCGTACCACTAATGGTACGCGAAAGACTACATAGGTACGCGAAAGGCCGGGTGGTGGCAGAACGGAAATTAAAAATTCAATATTTAACTCATATAACACTAATAAAAACCCTAATAAATTTATATTAATAAATATATAATAATTTTATTTTAGTATTTTACTACCTTTTTAATTAAAATAAATGTATTTAACTATGTGAAGTTTGTATGGTTCTATTTTTAATCATTAATGGTACGTGACTGATTGATAATAATATAATATAATAATAATAATATACTCAAGTGGTACGCGAAAAAAAAAATTGAGAACCGCTGTATTAAGGGTAAAACCATATTTTTATTATTTAGCACTCGGACCTATGCATTTTTATCTTCGTTATACTGACATAAAATTGTAGTAATTGTATTTCTTATTTATGTCTCTATGTGTGTACTATAATTTATAACTAGGGAACAGATTTTAATTTAGTATAAAATTAAAAATATTTAAATATATATTTGTTTATTACTTAATAAATATTTATTTATAAATGTATAATATTTAGATATTTAAATTGAAAATAACATAGAATTATTAAATAATTAATTAAAAAATATGAAAAAATTAAAAATCTATTCTGAATCATCATAGTCTTCATGTGGGAAACAGTTAGAAACAACATATAGCTTGAAATTTTCAAATGTAAAGTGGCAGCTGTTCGGTCTTAACATTGCTTTGTAACGGCTGAATGACCTCTCCACATCAACGGACGTGACATGTGCATATTTCATACACATTATTTCTTTTGGAGTGTATTCAATTTCTGAATAATTGTTATTTGGAGTTTTGTTTAATAGTATATCTCTTATTGACATTACAGTATTAAAACCTGTTTTTTCCAATACATTTTTTAATTTTGAATTGGTCAAAACTCCAATTTCTCCAGGAACCCATTCTAATTGCTTTATGGCATTATCAACTATTTCTAAGCTCTACGTTAGTGGCATTTTAGAAGTTTCTAATTTTGAAATAGTATCAACCAAAAATCCAAAATTAGTCGAAATAAATGCTAAATTGTTTTGCAAATTTTTACTGTCCATGAGCTCAACAGTTTTTTTTATTGCCATTGCAGCTTCGGGATCTAAATTTAAGACAACGTTTCTAATCTTTTCAAAGTTATTTGAATAATATAATACAGCTGATAACCACGTACCCCATCGAGTTATAATAGGCTCGGGAGGTAGAGTTAAATCCTGGTACAAATCTTTAAATGGTTGTATACGACTTGGCGCTTTTAAAAATATTTTTTTTACGTTGGAAATTAACGAATCAACTTTTGAAAATTGAAATATAATTGTTTCAGCTATACGATGAAAACCATGTACTAGACAAGTTAAATGTATTACTCTTGGATAAAATGTGTCCAACACTTTTCCCGCCTTACACATATACGGCACGGTGTCCGTTAAAAGTAAAAGTACATTATTGTGTATTATACCATTCGGCCACAAAACACCCATTGCATTATTAAATAATTGACATATAGTTTTGTGGTTGCATTTATCTAATTCTTCACAGCACAATAAAAATGGTTTAGATGGTTCAGTGCTCAATTTTCCTACAATAACATTTGCGATATATCGACCGTCGGCGTCTGTTGTTTCATCTACTCCAACCCAAATAGGGCCATCTCCAATGATATTTTGAATTTTCGAAATAGTTTCTTCATACACCCCACTAACATAATTTTTTCTAAGTGTACTCTCGTCGGGAATTTTATGACCAGTATATTTTTTCATAAAATTTTTAAATGCATCATTTTTCAATTTAAAAAGAGGAATGTCTGAACGTATTAGTGCACGACACAAATCATCATTTAAAACTGACTTACTATTGGTAGATGCGGATGATGTAGAAATAAAATTTTGTTGAAATAAGCTTTCTGTCTTTATTGTCTCTATGTTTACTGGTATTGATGTGCTAAATAACTTGACAACGTTGGTCGATAGATACTGATTTATCACAAGACTGACAGTATAAAACTTGTCCATCACTTCTAAAAGTTTCATTCGGAAATTCTTCCAAATAAATACTAATTTTTGACCTTTTTATGCGAGCTACTTTGGGCATATTTAAATAGTTAACAATATTATATTATACAAACTACACACACGGACACAATACGAAAATAACGTGATCGAATAACGCTCATACGAATACAGATCGAAAAGTGAACGCATATACTCATATACTGAAATTACTACTTAGATAACTAGATAAGATATCGAATCGTTGTCGTTTGATGTCAAAGGTGTACAGTACAGAAACCTAATCGTATCGCAAAATACTAAAATAAAAATGGAAATTCTTCAATAATATAGAATACGTATATTTATTTGTAAAATAATTAAAATATACACGGAAATTCTACAATATTACATAATTTATGTATTTATTTGTAAAAAAAATTAATTATTTTAAAATATTTAAAAATATTTACAATAAAATTAGCATCAGATTACTTGAAATTAAATGAAACGTATACATACTCGTATATCGAAAACTTTCCGATGCTATTATTACATAAAAATATTTATTTAAATTAAAATCCGTTTCCTATTTATAACCATCTGATTATTAAATTTAATATTAATAGTTTAAAAAATAATTTATTTTATTTACACACTACCAAGCAATTGTTTTTGTTATATATCTCTCTCTCTCTCACTCTCGAGTCACGTGGTCATAGTTGTCAAGTTCGATTCACGAATCACGATTGACTGAAAAACAAATGTGCCTAATATTTTATTTTCAATCAATATAAGTAGGAAGCGCATACGAATGCATATATTGAAATAAATGAGTTGTTTGTGTTTTTTTTTTTTTTAATATGGAAGGAATTGACGATGATATTTTACAAGAAAAATCAAAGCAATTAGTAAATATTTATAGTGTTTATTAACCGGGACTTGAGAATGATATTATATAATTTAAAACAATAATGAAGTATTTTTCAGAAGATGAAAAATTATCGATGCACAGTTTTCTTGAAGTATTAACAGTATCAAAGTTAAACGATTCATTTCCTATTGTGTAAATAAAGCTTTAAAACTTTTTATATTTCTAACATGTTCAAATGCAAGTGGAGAAAAATCCTTCTCAGTTTTAAAAAGTCAAGAATTACCAGAAAACATAATTATCTAATAAAAATATATCATAGTTGTCTCTAATATCTATAGTAAATATTTTCTTAAAAGATATAGGTTGGAATGTTATTATTAAAGAGTTTGCTGTACAGAAAGCTAAAAATTGGTTGTAAATGATTTATATTGTATTAAAATATTTATTATTATATATTGTATTAAAATATTTATATTTAGTACCTACTAAGGTCTATAAATTTAAAAACTACGGATGTTACAATATGTTTATAAGTATAAATTAATTAAACAATCTTAACTATGTTGTTATTTGTATACATATATACAGTGTGTAAATGCTAACTGAGAACACTCAATATCTTTGAGTAGAGACCTGAAATTTGAATTCTGATTTTTCGTTGGTTTTTATGACATAAAAATGTGTATTTTTACAAGTTTTTAATTTTTTTAAGTTAAATAGACACGAGTACGCGTAGTACATGTACTATACATATATATATATATATATAGTTTGGTTTGTGGAGAGGGTTGAAAGGCGGAATTTTAAAATCTGCCCCCATGCAGGCAAATTTGTTAATCCGGTAATGTTTACAATAAATGCTTGCAATATTTTTTTGTTTCCTTATAATTTCCTTCCATTAAGAACACTATTTTTATACAATTTTAAAAAGGCCTATGGGGGATCTGACCCTTACATCCCCCCCTTGTATACGCCCCTGGGTTGTAACTAAGTTGAAAATAACAACAGTTTCTGAAATACATCTTTTGTTTTTGGGGCACAAATGAGGCCTAATTGGAGGTGCTATGCACCCCCGGTAACCTCGCTATTTGCGGCACTGACTCAAGTATACTATGATTTTTGTGGTGAAGTTATAGCTATATTTATGCATTGTAAGATGGGTGAGTATAATTCATCACCGTACTGCAGTAAACTCACCTACCCCGCCCTCCTATGGCTCATGAAATGTATAAGTATAAGCATGTATATATAAGTATAAGTACACGAGTGGCGTGTGTTTATGACGCTAAGCACCAAGTGTTATATTTTAGTGTGTGATTTATTCGACCTGTACGACGGTCGTGCAGTTGCTAGGTGAACGTTAAGATACAACACAAGGCGTTCTCAGCACCAGTCAGTCATACAGCAATACCGTAAATATATTTACACTCGGTGAACTTTGCCAACGTCATCTGGTGAACTTGTCGTAAATTTGTGTACATAATTCTAATATATACGTAACATATAGGCAGAGTAGAGAATTATTTAGATAACATTTTATTCGAATACATTTTTATGTGGATAAATTTCACAATTATTCGAATAAGGAATTATTTGAATAATAATGTGTAAAATTTTTTTAGGTACATGAACTTCCAGGCATGCAAACCACCACGCTTCATCCGGACATCCGCTTAACCCCCGACCCGGTGTCCACACCGGAAAAATTTCGATCCGGTCACTGTCACTTGGAACTGACGCCCGTCTGGCAGTACATAATAAAAAAAAACAGATTCCCGGAAAATGTAGACCGGCAAGAAGTGTTCTCCGAGCTAGTCGTCAGACTGCAGCATCCCGAATGGCAGGTCAGTAATGACGCCAATATCACTAAATAAATATAATAATCAGTTGATTTAGAAAAATTTAAAATATGATAATATCATGAATCTATAATACAGACGAACAATTTAGCCTCAAAACTCCTCTATACTTATTATTTTCAGACTTAATGTATTTTATGTGGTTTTTTTTTTAAATACCAAATGGTATTTAAGTACCTATTACTTTGTACGTATAATTCTATAGTATCCCTAAAATAATAAATACCTTCGTAAATATACTCTTTATGAATCATAATATTAATGTTGAATGTTCATTATTAAAATTGTATACAGCTAAAAGAAAAAAAATTAATTATGATCATAGAGGCATAAAAACCTCTAAAATTACCCTGAGGAATATTTTGAATACTTAAGTATTTTTTATGTATTCATATATCATTTGTTTTCAGTAAAACATGCGTGATGTAAGATTGTTAGACGTACATAATGTAAGCAATATTCATTCCTAATGTTCCATTCATACGTGACAATACTTTGAACATTACATATCTCACTATTTCAACTTCACTGTGTAGCACGTAGTATTATTATGTTTTGAGTACTTATTACAGTAGGTACTACCCAATGGCGTGTTGACCGTGATTTTGAAGGGCAATTGCCCGATAATTTTAAAGGGGAGGGTGGGTGAGTACTAGATTTAGTGAGATATTTTTGTCACCTAATTATGATATTTAACAAGAATCATAAATTAAATAATAACTACCTAGTATGTATGCTAAGAAAAGTTATCCAAAAGAGTGCCACAATATTGTAAATAACAACACTGAATACGGCTTTAATGAAATAGCAATATAGATAGCATTATAATTTTAGTTTTAGTACCTACTACCATAGATTAAATATACTAATATATTTAATCTATGCTACTACTCTGTACTGTACTGTACTGTAGTTTATAAATAAATAAAATCGTTATTGTACAACGTGAATTCCCAATTTCTCGTGACCTGCGTCTGACATAATGTATTAATGTAAAGTTGTAAAGTTGTTAATGATAAATATTAGTTTATTTTTTATTTTGTAGTTATTGTTACATGATCTCCATATTAATTACTAAGTGTAATTTAATATAGTAACTAACACATAGACACATATTTCAATTAAAGTAGTTCAAATAAATAGATATAATTTTTTGTTGTACAAATGTTGTAAGCGTCAAGACTTAAGGGATGGTAGCATAGTTGGAGATCCTGGAAAATATTGAGGAGAACTCAAATATATTGTTTCAAACAGCTCTGTGGGGCATCAGTTTCAAATTATAAATTTGGGGGAGGGGGCTTGCCCCTATCACTACCTCTGGATGATAGGTCATTCAAAACAATGAATTGCCTGATAAAATATTTCACTCCACCATGCCACTAGTACTACCTATTTTGAGTATGGCCTCCCGGTCATACATACTATTGGGTCGGACTAGGCCACCGGGGCACCGGGGTATGCCCCGGTGGGCTGCTGTAATTTTGGTTAAATAAAATTACTTAGATTTTTTTGTTTTTAGTTTAATGCGTCTACCTTCTATTCTTAAAATAAAATAAAAAATATCGCCTTGTAACATGACATAACTAGTGGATGCGGTGACACAGGATTAGATAACTTGGAGTTTGAAAATTTAATATATTTAATGTCGCAATATACTGATTGATAACAATGATTTCATTAGAATATTTATAAATAGAAAAATTGTAGGAAATTTGAATACAAAAGATGTGTACACTATGTTAATCATACGAAGTACCGTTCGCGTTTGTACAAACAACATTTTATCAAAATAAAATATTGGTATGGGTCACGGTCTTAGAAGATTAATTTTCTAAGACCATGGTATGGGTAGACATTGTCGCGCAAGATATGGGATAACAAAATTGTTTTTCGATAATAATAATTTTTATAAGATTTATTAGACTTTTATTTAAAAACATTTTAATAGTTTTGACGTTCAATCAATAACAAGTCTGTTACTAGTTTCCAACCTTTATGGACCTTTTCGCCACATTCACAAATTAAAAATGGTTCTAGAGTCAGACAATATAAAACATTTATATGATATTCATTTAACATTTGCTAGTTTTGAAATTTACTGTGGGTCGCATAAGAGACATTAGTTGCCGACCCCACTGTTCTAACTCAATTAAAATTAAATGTATAAACATATTTAAAACAAATCATTTTTTTTTTTTTGTGTAAAATTTATCTTAATAGGTAGGTCATTATATCAATATTATAGATAAGATATTATGCGTAAACTAGATTTATTTAAGGTATAACATTAAATCTGAAAATATTCAAATGTATTTATGTGAATATTGTTTTTTGAGATATGAAGATACATTTTCAGTTAAACAATAATTTGATTAGGTATCTACCTACTTATAAAGTTCAATTGAGGCCGTTCGAAATTATTTTGCCCGGACCGAGCTATAAAGCTAGTCCAACCCTGCTCCCGGTGTCCCGATGATGTATTTAGGGACAGCTAATTGTTCTGGAATAAGACTTAAATAATGTATGTTTGTGTTTTATTAAACTGTAGGTTGAAAAACCATAATATTATTGTTATGACAAAATAAAAAGTTGAATAATTTATTGAGGAAATCTATTTTTAATTATTTATTCCACTAATTAACGATTATTTACATTATTTTTGTCAAATATATTCTTCGTACTTTTGTTCCCTCACGATAGTTGTAAAATTGTTAAATATACACACGTTGAGTTCCGACGTACATTCTTAGATGTAATTTTTGTTTACAAAATCGTACATTGCTCGATCAATGATAGTTTTCTTCTCAGTTTAATTAATTTCTCAGTTCCATCATTTAACTCTAGAAGTCGGCCAACTTTTTATATATCTAAGCACAGAACACTTTATGGCTTTTTTTCCCCCATTAATAGAGCTTTGGTTTCATGGAATAATCTACACAAGGACATTGACTTTTTTCATTCTTCTCAACTAGCAATACGAGTTAGTATTTTATCATTCTAATTTTGTTTTTGTCATTAACTTTCTCAAGGTATTTATATAATTGTTCATCTCTTTTATAATTAGGATAAACTTCAACAGCTACCCATTGATAAATCTTATTATTAAGTAAAATTATGTTATTGTTATAATGTTTTAACGTTTTAGTATAATCTTTAGTTTTTAATATTACCATTATAATTCCACTTTTTCATGTTATTGTAAATAATTATTACTGTACTCTGAGCCTTCGGGCGTATATTTCAATAAATAAATAAATAAATAAAAAAATAAATAAAAATTGCTAAACAAATCAACCATTCAGGTGCGTTTTTGAAGGGGCTGGGTAATTTCCTCCAAACAAAATTTCACAATTTAACCGATTAAAAACGAAAATAAGAATTTTGATAAATAATTGTAATTTTTATAATATAATCATCTTTTTTTTACAAAATTATTGAAATAAAATACCTTCATAATTATAAAAAATTAAAAGATATACTACATACATGAACAATTTAAAAATAATAATTCATAAAACAATGATAATATGAGCTTTTAACATTAACATTTTATAGGGTGAAAGCGCACTTAAAATATTTTTTACAATTTCGGAGGGACTGGATCCCTTCAGCCCCCATCCATAAATTCGACCCTGCAACCATTATTTAATATTTTGTCAGTTGTAGTAATTAATAAAGAAATACATTTTTGTAATATTTGTACTTGTATTATCAAAAAAATAATAAAAAGTTATGTCAATAAGAAAAATGAAAAAAAAAATTGTCCCGGTTTTTGCCAAGTATTATATGGTAACCCTATATTATGAACTTCATTAAAATATTGTAATAGTCAATAATAATAATAATAATAATAATATATAATAATAGTTCTATAATTATTAATTTTATTATTTTATTTGAATAAGTGCTGACGTCTGTGCTGTTATTTAGAAGTGTTTTACATATGGTATCATTGTACGTTTTGTACATAGGTGAGACTTCACGGTTCCCGAGTACTAGCTTACATTATACCAGCAGTCGGCCCTCAGCTAGACGCATTGATGTCCCCTACAATACTTCCTTCGGTTATAACAAATCTTGCACATTTTTCTCCGGCGCTCAGAAGCAGCTCTATGGACGTGATATTAATCTATGTGCAACATTCATCGGATCCCGAACAAGTTCTCAAGACCATGATCATTCAGGGGTTGGATGTATCTGGTGCCAAATCTAGTCTCACCGTGAATGTGATGGAGTGCGTTCCTGTGGTACTTCAGCAAATTGTAAAAAGAAATGGAGACCGGCCAGTTAGTAAAAAAAGATTAAAGATCATATAGTTTATTATTTGAGTTCATTAAGAATAATGACTTATTTATAATTGTGTATATTATTTCAGTAAATCTCTACAGAAATTATAAAATTATTATTCGTCATTGTTTTTAACTTTTACTTTTGAACCATCATGGTATAAAACACTTGTGTTACCGCATTGTTATACTTTCAGTTAATTTTTAAGCTTTTTGATGGAATTAAAAGAAAAATAAAATAAAATAATTATAAATAATTGTATATAGACGATTAACATCCTAAATATTAAAAGAAAAATAATATAATTCTTGATATATGATAAATCTCCAAATTCTCACGTCTAGTCTACTACTGAGTGTATGTTATTATAGTTATTAATTGAAGTATCATCAGTTTAATATTATATAATATTATTAGTATCAGTGGCGTAATTGTGGGGGGCAAAGAGAAGCAAGTGCCCCCTCTGACAACTTTTTGAGAGATAAATGTATAATTTTGCCCCCCCCCCCCAGATAATCCAACAGTACAAATACCACCTTTTATTAATGAACTTATGGGTATTATTTAACAATATTGGTACCTAGTACCTGCTACCTACAATTTATGTTTATCTAAACCATAAAATGAGTTAAAAGACTTATGTAAAATCAAATAATTAGATATAGTGTATAAAATACATACAATAAAAATATGATTTAACTGGTGAGGGGGGTCAGGGTTTTTGTAATAATAAATATATTGCCCCCCCTAGATTTTTTCTCAGTTACGCCACTGATTGGTATAATAATATAGATGATAGTATGCATACCTACATAGCAAACAGCGATATAAATACATACATTAGTTGATTTATTTTCAATGGTACTATATGTCTACATAAGTTATAAATTATTGAAGTATAATATTTAAATTTATATTTTATTTGCGTTTTTAGATTGCTATTCCCACATTTGTGCATCTTGTAACTGCGCTATCTAACAAAATGATACAAGCAACATTTCAACAAGCAGCTGTTTACTGTTTGGATAGAGTCAAAGAAATAGTTGGAAGAAATAAATTTGATCATTATCTTGAAACATTTCACCCCATTATTAAAAAGGTAAATTATTTAAATAATATATTTTATTTTTGTATAATATTGCAATTTACTATATTACATATTATTTATTAAATATTACGAAACATTTGACATACAATAATTATTTTTACAATATTTACACATTTTTACAAGGTGTTTAATATATTATAAAACTATACATTTGATTTTAAATATTCACTAATACAACTATACTTAACTAATTTAAAAAAAATGTACAATTAGAGCAGCCTTAACTGTAGATAATAGTACCTATAAACGTTTAACATTAAATATAGAGTACCACGTAACTTAAAAAGTTCTTATTTATCCCGATATAAAAGTTACACTTTTACTTTTACACCGACTGCATTATTATGAAGTGTATGGAATAGGTTTCCACACCAAATCTGAGCCGTGAT